CAGATAGTTTATATAATTTGTGAGCAATTTTCTTTTTAAAAATTAAGTACTTCAACATAGAGCTAAACCAAATTGGATATTTACTTATATTTAGCTTTTTGTTTGAAAAATTGTCATCTAAAATTTTAAAATTAATACTTAAGGTATTCAAAAGCGGATATGATGTCATGTTCGGAATATTGTRTCTTTCTTTTTTATTTTTACTCTAAAAACCACTATATGATAATGAATTTTTAATTCTACATAAATATGTTTTAGGATTTATATAGTAGTTTTATAGGTACATCGTATTTTACCATTTATCTAGCCGCTGTGTGCTGATTCTAGCGTCACAATAATAGTCAATTAGTTTTTGCATCCACGGCTCCACACTACAAAAACTTGAAAAACTCCGTGATATCGTAACACCATCTTGTCATTAAAATGATTATAAAATGGTATATTAGTATTATTTTGTATCTTTCCGGTAGAAAGGGAATCTAATAGGTGAGTTCGGTAGGCCAACATTTAAAATTCTCAGTAGTTTTCCAAAGCGCTGAGACAAAAAAAATTAGGAAATTAAGAAAAAACACAAATTTTTAAGCCAAAAATTACTTTTGGTCCAAATCTAAAAAACTCAACATGGATAATGAAATATTTACTGAATGCTAATATTAGAATTTACTAAATACCATTAATTATCAAAATATTTTAACCCATGTTAAACTATTTATAGCAGGCATATACAATTTATTAATTTTGATTTTTTTTTTTTTTTTTAAATGAATGTCATTGAAAATATTTTAGCACGGTCAAAAACTTGAGTTTAATATTTTAAATCAAAGTTACTCATAAGTTTTTGTAGATGAACATTAGAGTGAAAATTAAACGCAATTTTACAATTACGTTATTTTAAATTATTATGATATTAATATATTATAGGTTGCAGACAAAAAGTATAGTTTATTCCTCCGTATAGGAATACTTCGGTTTAAGGTTTATGGTAGAATCTATAAACTACTGAAMAATTTTGTTTTTGGAAATAATATGTTTTGCATAGAAACACCTCACACATAAAGATAAACAATGTATGCTGAATTACATTTAATTTTAATTTTCACAGTGTTCATTTGTAAGCTTGGTAATTTCTATTTGTAGGCACTTAAWAATATATWTTTAAAGTATGATAGGTACTGAAACCATGACGAACGTCTCTGTCGATCTTCCAAGTAAGTGGTTTTCAAACAACGTGTCTTGTATTTGAACAAACTATTCTTAGGTGTAATATCATCCACATATATAATAGGTATAATAAGATCACCAGAAAATGTGCCGAGAAAAGCATTAGACATTTGTATTGCTCCGCACTTAACTTAGGTACGGATATAGGTAGTGAAGTAGTAATTTTTTTTAAATCTGAAACAAATTCTGAAATAAAAAATGATGTTATTATTCTGAAAAGTATGTATATCTCGTATTTAAAATCAATATTGTATTTACAGAATAAAATGCAATTAATCCTTTTATAAATACGTGTCTAATGTATTAATTACTATAAAATAGATTTTATTAAATATATATATATATATATTGTGTTAGGATGTTTCAAAAATTTACCCGCACAGCTAAAAGTTGAGTCATATTTTTAATCACACCTTGGTAATATCAAATAATTAGAAAACATTTGAAACTATTATATAGTGTATACCTATATAATGAATTTCTAGAACTGGACAAGTTAATTAATTTTATTAACTCGTTAAGTTAATTTATTATAGAAAAATTAAAAATTGTTCAATTTTCTTTTATTAACTTCTAAAATTTACAAGTTAATTAGAAAAAAATATATCTTATCTAGGTAAAAAATTAGTTTCTCTTTCATATAAAATTGAGTTCTTACTATAATACAGACCTTGCAAATTAAAATTCTTTATTGTAATTTAATTATTGTTGCATGTACTTTCATACACTAGTATTCTAATCAATAATGAAATCCTACAAAATTATTATATTGATGTATTTTGTTTACCTAATATTCTATAACTTTTTTTGCACTAATGATAATACTTATATAATATGTATACTATATATTTTTACTGTAAATTATATTCATTTGAAGTTAGATTTCTTCAACAATTAACATAAAAATCAGTTCAGTTGATTTTTAAGGTCAAAAAATATTTTATAAATTTGAAAATATTTGATAGAATTTATAAATAATTGTTTAAAGTGTTTGTATTAATTGTACTAAAATCGAAAGTTAAACTATTGTGTATTCCTTTCAGTTCCATAGAATGTTTAAAAAAAATTAATATTGGTAATTTTTCAAATTCRTTATTTTTGCATTGATATTATAAAGCAAAATGTTTGGTTTTTTTAGAACATTTTAAATATTTTTATGACATATAAAAATCTGAGTATTACTTAGGTATCACCMCATTCACAGTAAAAATTATACACTTATACCTTATTTATCCGTTTCACAAATTTTGAATACATTTTTATTCATAATTTATATACTTGCCTACGTTAATTCGATTAGTATTATGAAATCCAGAAACAGCGCGAAACATTCGACATCGACATTACATCACATTATTTTGGTATATGCATGCTTACCATATAATATAATATAACATTATAAACAGTGGCCATAATTGAACATCTACATTTATCTCGGGACGGAACTCGGATGCAGCMTATTTTATAGTACCTAATGTATTTTGTCAGTTCACTATTTGTTTTCTTTCTCTAATCCACTCGCAACATATTGAAAAAGCTAACTAATTAAATACTATTTCCGACTTTCCGAAGGTTTGACAAATAATTTCTTTCAAATATTATATAAGAAAAAATAAATGAATGTTTTGATTCTATGATTGTATTTTGTATTATATGAGACTGTGTTGCAAAAGTGTAAATCGCGATCGTGGTTGACAAAAGCTGTGATAATTCAGAATGTTATTGTTACTATTATTGTCATTGTTATTACTTTATTAGCATGATTGCTGCAATGCTGCCCCGATTGTGTCACTGTTGTTGTTAGGTATTAGTATAATAATAGATCCCATCATGCTTCAGTATTTCCATGACTCCGCGGTCCGGGGAGTTTGGTTTTCGTCAGCACATTCAAAGTCGATAAACCCATCACCGCCGGCTAGGCCCCTGGCCCCTGGCACGAGTGTGAATCGTAATTTTTGATTGTACACCCGAAAATTATGTTGGTTGAGACACATGCTTCGGAATGTCATTTCCACAAATCAGTAGTCTAGCGAGCTCAGTCTTCGTCGGTACATTCAATATACCTATCTAAAAACCCATCTCCGCCACCTAAGCCTGATACCCGATACGAATAATAACCATTGGCCAGCCTAAGAGTGAATTGTAATTTATAGTTCAAAGCAATGTTGGACAATGGTCCAATAAGAGCAAAAGACCTTCTATTTTATTTATTTTTTATGTCGATTAGCATGGCAATTAAATCGTTGTTGGGCATTTAGACCGTTAAGTGAAGGAAAAAACAATATATTTACAGTAGTACGATTTAATTTTTTTTTTWATATCTGAGTTTATTCGCTTGTCTTGTCAGTGTTTTGTAAGACATCCTTTTTTTCTTATTATTTCATAGCAAACTTTTTACGTAATAAGAAGATAAATATAGTATATTAATTTACTTGCAAATACCTATAATAATTTTTTAGTTATATATTTTTTTTAACAACACTATTATACATTTAAAGTAAATTTGAAAAAAAAAATTTAGTTTTATACTACTTATAACTCATGAATAATATTTGATGTATCCAATTATTAATGTAATTTTTCATTGATTTAAGTATAATATATATTTAAAATAATTAATTAACTCATAATAGTTGTCGACTCTTGTAGAGATTTGAATCGTCATATTTTTTCTAGCCGATAGTTCTGTAATAGTATGTGATAATGGTTCTTATTCATTGAAATTTGGTTTTGCGAGTGAACATTTACCTCAAATATTAATTCCGACTATACATGGAAAACAACGGAAAGAAGTAAGCGAACAATAGTGTTTAAATTGAAAATTTAATCAATTTCTGATTTTGATATTTTCAACTTTAGTAAAAGTGTATCTAGTTTGTGCGTTCGGGGTGGTAAAATTTATAATTCTCAGTAGTTTTCAAAAGCGACGAAAAAAANTTAATTTACTTGCAAATACCTATAATAATTTTTTAGTTATATATTTTTTTTAACAACACTATTATACATTTAAAGTAAATTTGAAAAAAAAAATTTAGTTTTATACTACTTATAACTCATGAATAATATTTGATGTATCCAATTATTAATGTAATTTTTCATTGATTTAAGTATAATATATATTTAAAATAATTAATTAACTCATAATAGTTGTCGACTCTTGTAGAGATTTGAATCGTCATATTTTTTCTAGCCGATAGTTCTGTAATAGTATGTGATAATGGTTCTTATTCATTGAAATTTGGTTTTGCGAGTGAACATTTACCTCAAATATTAATTCCGACTATACATGGAAAACAACGGAAAGAAGTAAGCGAACAATAGTGTTTAAATTGAAAATTTAATCAATTTCTGATTTTGATATTTTCAACTTTAGTAAAAGTGTATCTAGTTTGTGCGTTCGGGGTGGTAAAATTTATAATTCTCAGTAGTTTTCAAAAGCGACGAAAAAAAATACAAAAATGAAGAAAAAATTAGAATTATTTTCCAAAATTAGTTTTCGACAAAATTGATGTCGATTTTGGGTGTAACTCTAAATGTTTACTGAATGTTTATATTATAACTTTCTATGCACTATGAAATTTTCTAAATATTTTGGCTCATAGTAAGCTATTTATATACTATTTTCATTTATTATTAGTTTTTTTTAAAATTAATTTCAATAAAAAATTTTTTGCTCGGTCAAAGAACTTGACAATTTAATACAAGGTTCATCGTAAGCTTTTCTTAGAAAAAATGAAAAAAAAAAATGAGAATAAATCCACTGTAATTTTGTCGAAATTAAAAATTTATACGTTCATAACAAAAATATATAATCGAATGATACTATAGGAATTAAAGATTTACACTCATTATGAAGTACAACAAATCTCACGATTTTGAAAATATAGTATTTATTTATGTTTAGAAAGAATAATTGTATTATTCAAAAAAAAGGGAGTGAGCATGCTTGGTGAATCATCCTGCATATTATAATAAATCTTAAATACATTATATTAAAATAATAAATTACCTACTACAATACATTAATTATTCGAATCATATTAAAAATTAATTCTTAATACATTAAATGTTCGAAGGTTTGTATAATATTATCAGCTTATATCAGTTACGTTAATAGCTTGCCATGCTGGGATCTTCGCAGAGGTCCATCTATGGTGGTCAGTTTTGTTATGATAACCAAGGTATTTTGGAAACCAGTGGACCAATTGAGAATTGCCTCATTACTGATTGGGATGCTATGGAAGACATTTGGTTTCATATGTTCTACGAACATTTGTTGATACCACCGGAAAATTATGCAATTCTACTCACCGAGCCGGTTCACAATCCAATTCATAGTCGTGAAAAACTCTTTGAGGTCAATATTATATTATTATTAAAATAATAAAATATTTTGTTATACCTAAGACGACATTAAATTAAGAAACGACACTATGACATCAGTGCAGGGCCGGGCTGCGTATTTCCGAACCCTAACTGAGCTGGGGCACTAGTACCCGAATCCGGTTAGGCTCCGTAGTGCGCGTCTTCACTACGTTCCCTAACTGATTTAGGGCACACTATTAAATATTCGTGTAAAAGCATAGTTTTGTACCT